ATGGCGCATGCTACATGACGCGCACGTACGTAAATACATAAAAACGCGCCATAACGGCGTGAAAATGTGACACGTTGCTCGTGTTTGGTTGATAAATACGTTTTGCTGTGTAAAAATGCACACGCACCTGGTGCGTGCGTGTGTTTAGGTTAGTAAATCACCCCCCTTGGCTCACAGACCCGAATGGCATTTTGGGGCTCACGAATAGCATTTGGGAGCTCACAAATGCTATGTGGTATTTGACAGCTAAGACTTTCAAATGGGCGGAGCGAGCTGTGACTTCACGGCTCGCTCCGCCCATCTGTTTACATTCAGGCAGAAAATGTCATATTGCGGCGAGTTGTCGCCCGGTTCGGACGATTGGTGTCGTGCATCGTGATTGACGCTGGATTACATCGATGGAGCCTTTTTTTAAACTAAAGAAATAGTCAAAAATTGACTCTTTGGTTTTTTTTCAATTACAGGATTTTTTTCTAAAAGTGTGGTTTGTTTATTTAGTTTGAATTTGAACCCTTTAGGGAATGAGTAGGGGTGTGCACTCTATTTGTCTGAAAAATATAAATACAATTAATTTGGGTACAGTGGTGGATGACCGAGCAATTGTCATTCAAAATATCACAGCACTGAAAACTGAAAAATAGCCTGGATAGGCAGGGGGTTTAACATGCTGGTTAAGAAAGGTCCTACATCACTTGGCTTACAACTTACAGAAATAAGGGCTCCAAGGGCAGAGGTAGGCGTGTTCACTTTGCCAGATAATTATCTTAAAGCATGTAAGACAGGTCCAAGGTCATTCATTACTTAGGTCTCAAGTAATGCAAAAAATAAATTCTGTTTCCAGCAAAGACTGGGTTGACACCAGGAAAAGGAAGTTAGGGGAAACCTCTGGAATACAGAAGATTCCCTAAGTGACTGCAGTTGCATAGGCTACATTGGCCAGAATTATGCTTTGTAAAATGTCTTTGAAGTACTTTTGAGATATCCGCTTCAACAGGCAGATCTAGATTGACAGATTTCTCATCAATGAAGGATAGCGATGCTTCATGAGTTCGACTAACATCTGGCAGCTTCTTTTTCCCTGCTTTATTATAATACTTAGTGTCTCTCTGATTTGGTCCTGCACCAGGCTGGAGCATTTTACATGGTCCACTTGATCTCCTGTAAAAATTTCTTGTGCAAAGAGGTCATCCAAAATATAATTCCAGTCGGGTTTTTCTTGAATGATTTTAGAAAAATTCCTTTGTAAAAACCCTTTAAAGAAGAAATAAACAGATAAGAATGAGCTGTGGTTTGAAAATATGGGAATTCTAACTTCAGCTAAAAACAGAATTTCAGGCAAGAAGAACATTTGTGTGTGTGTGGGTGGTGTGTGCCAAGCAAGTGACACCACTATGTCTTTTTTTCAGCTTTACAGTTTACAGCTTCCCATATCACCTGCCTGTCAATGGACAATGTTTGACCAGTGTGATGATGCTTCATGCATTGACCAATGTGTAAAGCAAGTGACAGAGGAAACTGTAAAGTTAAAACAGAAAATATGGGGGTGTCCAATTAATGCCTGTAAAATGTGGCTGATGTGTCTGGATCACAAGGCAAACAATCAAGAATTAGGGAGCTAAAACAATTCACATATTTGTTCTTGAGCCTTATGGACCTTCCGTAACTTTGGCTTTTATTCAATCAGATTATCTGTGTATGCTTCTACAATGGGCCACAGCAGGGGCTATACTGTATATAACCCTTCTGCATACAACATGGCTACCCAAATTTTGGGAGTCCAATTAGACACAGGCTGCTCCAAGATGGCCATCAGAAGCCCTGTACAGAGGACAATTCAGTTATCTAGCACACTCTCCTAACACCAGAAGTGCAGTGTTCAGGTGATCACTGTGTCTACCTTCTGACAGCTAACCTGGAAGTAAGTTGGCGATCTAACGATTTCCCCGTCACTAACCAGTCTGCCCCCCACCAGAGCACAGGACCCCGCTACACCCTGTTCACTTGGTATGCCCCTCTAAACTTGGAGTACCTCATATGCCAATAAGGGTTCCATGCAAGAAAAGGCAACAGGTTCTTGGAAAGTGGCCCCACCAGCTGCTTATATTTATCTTCCTTCCCCTCCCCTACGGCTCCATTCAACTACCAGGTTTGAAGAGAGGAATATATGTAAAATCCTACTTGCAACATGGAGCTTTCACAGGACTCTCGCCACCTAGATGTGATGGCATTGGGTGTATGATCAGTCAACTACAAAGCACCAGCTCTGTTACAGGGGAGGCAGAATGAGTCACATACTCCCCAGGGGCGTAACTGGAAATCACAGGGCCCCAAAGCAAAATTTTGTATGTGGCCCTGTGATTTATAGTTACACCCCTTGCAGAGTCCACCTGAGATCCAAAACAACCCACCTGAGAGTGACCATGCAGAGCCCATCATAGACTCTCAATGGTGGGCAAGGTCTCAGGTGGGCTGGTCACACCCTTGCACACCTCTTACCTGTCAGCCCCAATCCACTGTCAGCCTCATCCACCGTCGTGCCCTGCCTCCTCCTCCTCCACGGTCGCTGGCTGGCCCTGCCTCCTCTGTCACTGGGCCCCTCCTCCTGCTTCCACAGTTTGTCAGTGATCTGAACAGTGGCATGTTCCTTCTCACAGCCACCAATGACAGCCAGCAGCCTGCAAGGCCATATTTGCCGCCAGCATGTTCTGCGCATGCACGCTGCCATCTTGGAGGTGGAACACATAACATCACATGGCGGTGACGTCACATGCTGAACGTGCGGTGGCCATATCGGCCATATCATTGCCTCGGAATCCGAAACAACATAAGATTTGTTTTCTTTGATGAAACGAATGAAAATGTTTTTTGTTTTCATTTCTTTCGTCCGAAACAGATTTTTTTTGCCGTGCACATGTCTATTGCTTTGCCCTGCATGGGTTCATTTTTACCTTTATATTATATTTTACGTTAAATGGCAGTTTACCTAAACACAACATCAAATAGATGGCTAGCAAGAAAAAAACAGCTTACCTTTAGCATCTTCAATGACAATTTCTTCAATTGGATTAATAGCTTCAACAGTTGTGTTATTTTCCTGCAGAGAGAGAACACTTATTAGGTCTATTAATTCACCTTGGACACATATCTGCCCAATTGCTCATTTTTTGTAAAGACTCCGAAATATATTGGAAAGCCTCCACAAATGATAATCAGCTATAGAATTGCTCCCATAATATACATGTTCAACTGTCCTTAAAGTCCATTTCCACCTTTGTAAGTTATTAGCATTTATTGGGGTAACGAAGAGCTGCAGTGATGATGGATACATATGCATATTTTAAGACTCACATTGCAGGCTATCTTCATTTTTTATATGAAGGTTTTATTAGGCATGGAGCCTAACAATTCAAAATGTTCTCCTCAGGTAACCCAGTCTGACACCGGGTCGTCAGATTGTAATCAGCTAAGCGAAACAAATGGCAAACGCACTCATCAACTCATAACCAGCGGTAAAGCAAGGTGCACATGGAAGGGCTTTAAACAGTAAAACAGCAAAAAGTTTCCCAGCACACTCGCCAGCCAGCATGCAAAAAAATCAGTCTAACCGCTAAGGTTAAAAACAGAGGTTTTTGATACACGTCTTCTGCAGAATATGTGAAAGCTGCACTGCCTTGTCAGGGCACCTCTATATAGTGCGGTCCTAACTCTAACTTATGAGAGTCTCCATCTTGGAGCACATGTAGCAAAAGATAAATTGGGTGCGGGTTCACCAGGAGGCAGCCCAACCTCCTTAAAGGCACAGGGACACACATGGGACACAAGTTTGCCATTTGTTTCGCTTGTCTGATTTGGTGCAGTGACACACTGGGGATCTCAGCTGCCGTTGTGATGTCTGGGGTCTCTTGTGTTGCACATATTCTGCAGAAGATGTGTATCTAAAAACTCTGTTTTTAACCTTAGCGGTTAGAGAGGGGTTTTTTGCATGCTGGCTGGTGAGTGTGCTTAGAAACTTTTTGCTCTTAGACTGTAATCAGCTGTCCCCCCCTGTCACCAATTATAACACAATCACTAAACACCAGCTCTGCCTTTACACACAATACACTGTCTGCAGGATGGAATGTAACGCACATTTCTTGCACTGCACAGAGGCAGACATTTTCATGCGGATATGAAGAGGAAAACTAACAAAAAAATTAAGTTTCTGTGTTCCTATATATCAGCTGCATATGCCTGATTCATGTACACTTGGTGTACATTGCTGGCATATGTTTTTAAAAAATACATCTGCAAAGGTGGAAATGGGCTTCACAGTCTACAGCAGATTAACAGAAGCAATGCTCAAACTGGTCTCACTTCACTTGCAAATATCAGGCCATGCATGGGCAGGTCCATCCCAAACACATAAAGCAAGTTCCTCCCACTTGAGTAAGCATTGTATTGATATCTCTGTGATGCATATAGTTTCTTTATTTATTCTACATTACAGGAGTGCACCAATGATAACAATCATGGTGGTAAACACAGTTCTAAAACTGCAGAGGAAAGAGAAAGAAGAGAAGCCAGTGGTTGATCCAGGTCATAAGTTCTGGTCCAAGACTGATGTAGTCAAAGGACCACATTAATATATTTTTTTTTATTAAACTACATATGTGTAGAATGCTGGCGAGTTGGCATCTCTCCATAACAGTGTTGAGTACTCTCCTCTGGACATTTTCTTCCATCTTCCATTTAGAATAATATTACTTCACTGATTTCAGAGTTCAGGCATGTAATACACAACATTGAAAGGCAAGAGAGACGAGAATTATCTTACCACAAGACAGATGGAAAAAGTTCCTGGATCACCTAGGCCAACTGGGGGCATAAATACCAACCCAGATGTTGGGTGCAGAGTCTGGGCATCTGTCACACTCCCCCACCCTATAAACACCCCAAGACCATTTCTATCGTGTTTCCCCGAAAATAAGACACTTGGGCATCTGAGTTATCACTTCAGTAATTCAACTCCTGGAGTCCTGAAGTGGATCTAACTGTGAAACATGTCAACAAGTGTGTATTATGTATCGTAAATCATAGATGACATCTCTATTTTATGGGAATATTATTTGCACACATATGTACTGTACCTGAGTGAAAGGGTTTTTATGGATTGTCCTAAATTTTATATGGTTTGTTCATAAAAGTTTTGGACTTTCAATTATCATTTCTGTTTTCTCAGTGCTTCATTTAGAGTCCAGCTTCCCCCCACCCTCCCTTCATTTTATAGTACAGTTCTAAAGTTCAGTAAAAACCATGGTCATTAGGTCAACCACTGAAGTGTAATTAAACTCTGTCTGTCTTTTCAGCAATAAGAAAATACCTTCTGGATAATAAATTTCTGCCTAAAGGATGGCTCCACTCCCTTGAAGGGTCATCTGACATGAGCATTCCCAGGCCAACATGCACGCAGCACAGAAAACATCTGTACTAGGCTACTCCCTTGTTTCTTCTACCAGTCTTTGACAGTGACTCTGCTTGGTTGTATCTCAGTGCTGTGCATTCCAAAACATGACTTATTACTGACATGTACAGTGCATGTTGGGGAAGCACTGAAAAAATGCTCACAGCCTGGACATTTTCAAAAGGCCCATAGAAAGTGTTTGGGGCCAAATGCAGGAAAATTGGTTCTGTGCACACTGTCCACCCTACACTATGGTGTCTATTCACTAAAGGGTGAAGGGTTTGGAGAAGGCAGGAGAAGTGAACAATCTAGGACAATATAGCTGAAGTGGCATGTGAGCTGAATTGGAGAATTTTTCCAAATCAGCTATTTTGGTCTAGATTGTTCACTTCTCCTGCCTTCTCCAAACCCTTCACCCTTTAGTGAATAGACCCCTATGTATTAAAACCAAAACCGTTGTGCCAAAAGTAAAGATTACCGTGATAAACTAATATAAATTATGCACTGTGCTCTTAATTAATAAATATTAAACAGTTAATAAATAGATAAATAAATACCTCTTACACCATACATCTCAAAAATCACAATCTTACAATTGATCAATATGGAAGCACCCCTTGTATCCCACAGTAAAAATAAACGCAAAAGATAATCAATACAAAGTAAAAAAATATAATTATAAATACTTTCCACACTCAATAATATACCAAATATCCAGTGTAAAGTCCATTAGTGCTTATATATGTGCATACTATTATGCTCTAGCGTTGCTCAATAGAAGTAGAAAGTCCACCAACAAATAGTGCTTCTAAAAAATTGTCCACTCCAATCACCTAGGTGCTGGGCACACACTCTAATTTCTTATATTAAATGCAGGAAAATAACTTTATATTGTAATTGCAGCTAGTGACAGTTATGCGTTGAACAGTTGGAACAGTTATGCGTTGAGCATTTAATGCTATTTTAATAGATGGTTCTACATACTGTTGGACCTTATCAATGTTTAACCTACTCCAGAGCTATTCCAAAGAAGTAAAGTGTTAATCACACATCTGAGAGTCCCTGTTGATGGGGTGAGCTATCAGAGAAAACAGGCTGGTATTGAAAAACTGGATAGATGCAAGTGGAGTGATATGTATGGAACATTGAACTGGGACTGAAGTGGGCTGGTGGACTGTTTGTTTCTAGATATCTTGTGCCTGAGTTTCTTGGTGGGACAATCTACAAGATTTTTTATGAAGATGAATTAGAGTGTTTATAATATTTGACAGAGAAATAGGTATTACATAGAGTGAGCACCCTCGTGGAGTTGTTTTTGTCTGCAACTATTACTGTGTTTAACTTACTGCTGATGGATTATCCAGACTGAGTTTCTTTAAGAAATGTTCTATTTTCGAAGAATCAAGGTCTACAAATAAAACAAAGATTACACTGAGTTACCTGCTAATAAATGGCTAAACTATGGTAAAAACTTAAAAGAAAGTGAACCATACACATTACATAACTGCTGCCTAAAACAGTCTTTTTCAGCAAAATCTGATGATGAGCTCTGTGCCCCTGGGCATGTAAAGGCTTTAAAGTGTAGAGGTTGCAGAGGTTTTTCATCTACTCTGTGGTTGCATTCTTGAGTAACTCTGTAACTTAAATTTTAGATAATTTAAAGCAGTGTGTTTACTTTACCTACACCCTACAGATGTAAATGATGAGGCCTACCATAGACATAATACCTTTAAAATAATAAAATGATAACCAATTGATTTTGCCCCTTTAAATGCCAGCACAAGAGAAAGTGTACTATATGTTACAGTTAGTACAACACTAATGTATATGGAAAAGAAAATCAAGAACACCATGTGGTACTGGTAATGGACAGTATATTTCAAATGTAGACTACAGTGGTGAACACTAAGTGGCTGATTTATAAAAGGTATTACTGCCGCTAAGCTCCTCCTGGGTGATTTCTTTATGAATCGGTCCCTATATATTAAATCCCACAGAATGCCAAGCAGCCACCCACAGCAGCACTAATCATTGCTGGATCACCAGTACACTTTTCCAGCAGAGTAGTAGAAGATGCACATGGAAGATCCACACCTTACATTCCAATTCCTGCTTCTCTCTCTCCCTCTCTTATGCCCTGGAACAGATCATGATTTTGTTTTAACAAACCCTATATCTTCAGTACAATGGCACAATTGGGTGGGTTGCTGT